CCCTATCCCCCCCCACACCCCCTAAAAATTTCTCAAAACACCCCACTAAAAACCTAACCAATTTGGGTTTTTTCCCACAAATTACTGCTGCACACCACCTCTCGGGGCTCCACACCCCTTCATCAAGGTGGGCCCTTGAGAGTGTACTGGGCCAGGTCTGCGCGGCGGGGGAGTCGCGCAGAGCCAGCAGAACCGTCCTATGGATCATTCGGTAGGAACAAGTCCGGCTGTGAAAAACCAAAAAAGGGGGTGAGGGGGGGGGGTGGAAACAATCCTCATGGAGTTGGTAAGATGGTAAAATTGGTGAGCCAGGTCAAAGCCCACCCAAGTCCAACATCCAGCATCCAGCCTCCAGGTCTCCAGATCACACTCGTCCTCCATCCTACGGCCAAAGCCCAAGTCCAAGCCGAGATCTTCCAAGCCGGGACAGGACCAGAACTGGACCCTCCAGGGCCAAAAGCTTGGGAGCGAGGCCGGGGGAAAGCAGGGCCAAGGCCCAGGCCTCCACTGCCAGGCTGTCCGGATCCTCCCAGCTACTGCCGGATGCACCAGGCCCAGATCGAAAAACGGGCCAGAGACGGGTCGAAAACAGGTCGGGGCCTGGTCTCCACCGCCCGGCCGCCCGAATCCAGGCCACACCGGAGCCACCGACGGCCAAAGACCAGGTCCAGGCCGAGATCTTCCGAGATCTTCCGAGGCAAAACAGGGCCAGAGCTGGACCCTCCAGGGCCGAGAGCCAGGGAGCGAGGTCGGAGGGAAGCAGGGCCGGGGCCTCCACCACCAGGCCATCCGGCTCCTCCTAGCTGCAGAGAGAGTCGTTGAGGCCACTTGGAGATTTTAGAGAGTCGTTGAGGCCACTTGGAGATTTACCTGTATCTTGGCTCCACACACATTTGCGCTACTCAGATGACCCTGAGGACACAGGTACACCTCCAAATGGCTTCAACGACTCTCTAAAAACCTGTATTTTTTTCCCTCACAGATGCCTTTCCTTGGAAAAAAAATAAACATATTAAAAGAAGTGATCTTAGTAGGATAGTAGTGTTAATGTACTTTATATTCCTTTTCTTAGCAGGATGAAGCTGAAAGAGGTAGACCGTACTGCCATGCAAGCATGGAGCCCTTCTCAACATCATCCCATTTACTTGGCTACAGGTAAGTTGTTGGATTTGATTTAAGAGGATTGGGTAAAAATGCACAGCGTGGCTTCCAAAATTATTTGCAACCTCTTCATAGCAGCTCCACTCTTGAGTTATGTACCTAGGCCCTAGACACATGACTGCTTAGAGTGGAGAAGTTGGTAGCGTTCCTATCTGTGCAGAGACACATTTTTCACAGGGATGCATTGGAGGATTCCCCCCCCCCTGTTTTTTTCCCCTGCCACACACATACTTTGGAATTCAGTCTTTTGTTAACCAACGTCTCTTCCTCCGCACCAATTTTGGTCCCATTCACTTTTACTTTTGGAGAGATATCCTGTTGATGGATAGATAGATATTTACACAGAGCTATGAATCTCTTTCCATATTTTTTTCTAGAACTCTATTGGGCTCGCTAGACAGATTTTAAAAAGGACTGAATTAAATTTATATAATAATAGTTGGAAGGGACCTTGGAGGTCATCTAGTCCAACCACCTGCTCAGGCAGGAAACCCTATACCATTTCAGACAAATGGCTGTCCAGTCTCTTCTTAAAAACTTCCACTGTTGGAGCATTCACCGCTTCTGGAGGCAGGTTGCTCCACTGGTTAATTGTTCTAACTGTCAGGAAGTTTCTCCTTAGTTCTAGGTTGCTTCTCTCCTTGATGAGTTTCTATATGTAGTTTCTTGTCCTGCCTTCAGGAGCTTTGGAGAATAGCCTGACTCCCTCTTCTTTGGGGCAGCCCCTGAGATATTGGAACACTGCTATCATGTCCCCCCTGGTTGTTCTCTTCGTTAAACTAGACATACCCAATTCCAGCAACCGTTCTTTATATGTTTTAGCCTCCAGTCCTCCAGTTTTCTAGCACTCTGTTGGGCTGGACAGATTAAAAAGGACTGAATTAATTTTTTCATTCCAAACATGGACATACTTGATAATTACTGCAGTTGAACGTTCCAACTGGCAAAAAGTTACAGTTATTTGATTATGTGGAAAGTGGAAATGGATGCCTAACAAACTAAAGTATTTGGAACAGACAGTATCTATCTAATTCAGATCTCCTATTTAGGACCACATGCCCTATCTTTGTATGTTGATGTCCAGTTCATCGTTTAGAGCCACTGACTTCATGAATTACTGGAGCCATTGTTCCAAAATTGAAATAACGTTTGTTTCATGCCTTGTTCTGAGTTTTGTGCCATCCAGCCAAGAGAAAAGACCCATTTATAGTACAATCCTGTACACAGGGAAGAAAACCCTGCTGTGTGCGTAAATTTCAGCTTTTTTTGCAGCATTTACCTAAGATTAAACTTGGGCCCTGAACACCAGAGGGTTATTAGCACATTAAATTCTCTTTTTTTGGGGGGGAGGTTACAAATTTCCTTATCTAATGAGTATTTCAAAGATTCACCAACAATACAGTATGCTGTACAGTTGTATCCCTATCCGCCAATACCCTTGGCTTTTTCCCCCTCAAAATTCAGCTCTGGAAGGAACTTGGGTTATCTAGCCCAACGTTCTGCTTTGTGCAGAATCTGCTAAAATAGATGGATATACAGGTGGTCCTTGACTTATGACCACAATTGAGCCTAAAATTCTGCTTTGTGCAGAATCTGCTAAAATATTCTAAATAGATGGCTATACAGGTGATCGTCCTCCACAACTGAGCCCAAAATTTATGTTGCTAAGCCAAACATTTGCTAACTTGAGTTTTTCCCCATTTTATGACCCTTTCTTGCCACAGTTGTTAAATGAATCGCTGCCGTTGTTAAGCTAGTCACACGGTCGTTAAGTGAATCTGGCTTCCCCATTGACTTTCCTTGCCAGAAGGTCGCAAAAGGTGATCCCATGACCCCAGGACATTGCAACCGTCATAATTATGAGTCAGTCATCAAGTGTCTGAAGTTTGATCATGTGACCATGGAGATGCTGCAACGGTCATAAGTGTGAAAAACAGTCATAATTCACTTTTTTCAGTGCAGTTGTAGCTTCAAACGACCACTAAATGAACTCTTGTAAGCCAAGGACTACCTGTATAGCCTTCTTCTCCAGAGAAGATGTCCATACATGGAAAAATGCAGCCCTCTTTCCTTTTAGGTATAAACCAAAAAATCCGAAATGTGGGGGTGTTTTTTTAGTTCAAGCACAGATACTGAAAACCGGCTGATCTGCCCACAGAAAGGTTAGACATAGAATGTGTCGTTTATCCTAGTCACAAACAGCCAAAGGGTGATTCTTTAGAAGAAGATGAGTTTTAAGCAGACCTGCAGAACCACATTAGTTTAAGGTTTCTCCTTAGCTCTGCTGAATTACATTGGAATTCGCAGGTGCCCTTTTTATAATAAGTCAGTATTAAGTGAATTAGTGACAGATTTTATCTTCCTGGGCTCCAAGATCACCGCAGATGGGGACTGCAGCCAAGAAATTAAAAGACGCTTGCTCCTGGGGAGGAAAGCTATGGCAAATCTAGACAGCATACTAAAAAGCAGAGACATCACCCTGCCAACAAAAGTACGTATTGGTCAAGGCCATGGTTTTCCCTGTTGCAATGTATGGCTGTGAAAGTTGGACCATACGAAAGGCTGAGCGCAAAAGAATTGAGGCCTTTGAACTATGGTGCTGGAGAAGACTCCTGCGAGTCCCCTGGACTGCAAGGCGATCAATCCAGTCAGTCCTAGAGGAGATCAACCCTGACTGCTCAATAGAAGGCCAGATCCTGAAGTTGAAACTCAAGTCCTTTGGCCACCTAATGAGAAGGAAGGACTCACTGGAGAAGAGCCTAATGCTGGGAAAGATTGAGGGCAATAGAAGAAGGGGACGACAGAGAATGAGGTGGCTGGATGGAGTCACTGAAGCAGGAGGCGTGAGCTTAAATGGACTCCAGAAGATGGTAGGGGACAGGAAGGCCTGGAGGAACGTTGCCCATGGGGTCGCGATGGGTTGGACATGACTTCGCAACTAACAACAACATTAAGCGAATGAATGTGTCTTTCTTGCAGGTACCTCTGCTCAGCAGTTGGATGCCACTTTCAGTACCAATGCTTCTCTAGAAATATTTGAACTTGATTTGACAGACCCAGCACTGGATATGAAGTCCTGTGCCATTTTCTCCTCCCCTCATAGGTAAGTCCTGGGTTTTTAAAAGCTTTATTTCTGCTTTTGAGAATTGCAGCACGCCATGGAAAGAGAAAGGGTGGCACGGTGGCCCAGCAATTAAAAGGCTGGGCATGTCGGCTGGAAAGGTTCAAGACCTGAGCTCCATGCAACGGGGTGAGCTCCTGTCCTTGCCCCATCTGCTGCCAGTCTTAGCAGTTCGAAAGCATGCAGATGCGAGTAGATAAATAGGCACCACTCTGATGGGAAGGATACGTCATGCTGACCCGGTGACTGTGGAAATGTCTTCAGACAGTGCTGGCTCTGGCCTTGAAACAGAGATGAACACCTCCCCTTAGGATTAGCAGCGATTAGCAGGGTAAAATCCGGGTGACTTCTTTACCTTTTTCTTTTTTTCTTTTCTTTTTTTTTTTTACAGAAAGGGAAATGTCAGAGTATGGATGGCAATTAAAAGCTGCATCCGTGTTTCGGTGTTTTTGTAGTTTCAAACAGTCATTAAACGAATGGTTGTAAGCCGGGGACCACCTGTGTATATTTTTATGGTTTTATTGTTTGTAATGTTTTGAGCTGCCCAGAGTCGCCTTGTGGTGAGGTGGGCAGGAAATAGATTTAATACATAACTACCTCTTCTGTACTGGCGGGGCCTGGGAGATGGGAGTGGAGAAGGAAGATGCAAGAATTATGCAACACGTGCAGGTTTCTTAGATTTCATGATGCCTGGATTTAGGCAGCAGAAAGTAAGGCTCTGTCAACCGTCCCCACTTGGTCAGTTAGAAAAGAAAGACTCTCGGATCCATTATTAGCGAAAGTACACTCTACTAAAGCCAAGTGGTTACAGAAGAAGCAAAGCTAAATCTGGGATTTTCGTGCAAAAAGAATGTTCCCACCTTTCCCCCTGCTTATCTGTGAGTGTCCAGTTAGGTCAGGGGTAGGCAACCTTGACTCTTTTATGACTCGTGGACTTCAACTCCCAGAATTCCTGAGCCAGTCATGCTGAGGGGAAAGAGAGAGGTTTCCAAGCTGAGCCATGCTGGTTCAGGAATTCTGGGAGTTGAAGTCCACGAGTCATAAAAGAGCCAAGGTTGCCTACCCCTGAATTAGGTGCTAACAAATTCTTTGGGTAACAATCCCTATGTTCCTGGGCTGGATGGTTTTGCATTCCATAATGTGACCCTGAGGTGACTGGCAGCTCCCACATTCCTCTCATGCTAACGCGCCCCCCCCTTATCTCCCACCCCACAATCCCTCTTCCCGTTAAGTATGTCAGGCTGACAGCAAGCAATGCATGGCTTATGCATTGCTTGCTCTAGCTTCATCTACCTTTTCAATCACTCAGCTGATTTCACAGGTCACACCAAGCCATACTATGTTGATCAAGCCATCGTGGTCTTCTTGACTAGCCCTGGGCACTGGTTTAAAACCTATAGAACCTGGAATTGTCTACTGGGTGCATTTAATTAACAGGAAGAATTCTACTGATCCTTTTAGTGAAATTGGTCTCAGCTTTTGATGTCAGTTCTGAGAATATCAGTAAATGCCCCTCAGAATAGCAAGGGAGTTCTGCTTACCTCTAAACCAACATTTTACTGAAGCCTTGAACCCTGGTTCTTCTGTACACTCCTTATCACCAGAGGCATCTTGATTTTAAGTGTTGTTTGCGCTTTTTTACACAAATAGATCAGTCTTTTCCTCTTCAAACATCTCAAAGCAGGGGTCTTCAAACTTGGCCCTTTTATGACTTGTGGACTTCAACTCCCAGAATTCCTCAGCCAGGCACGCTGGCTGAGGAATTCTGGGAGTTGAAGTCCACAAATCATAAAAGGGCCAAGTTTGAAGACCCCTGTCTTAAAGCAAACACAAAATGCCCAATTTTTTGAAAACTAAAAAGTAGATAGGTGAAGAATTTGTATCCTTTGCTTGTTGCTGATCTACGGTTCACAATACACCATGCTGTTGACCTTAAGCACAGCTTGAGGGCCCCAAATTCCTCAGCTCAGTCTAAAGTTTTTAAATAAATTAGGTGCCCTCCAGTCAGACGTGACTCCTAATGGCTGCCTAGATGTCCATAGTATTGGAGGTGGTTTTGCCTTGCCTTCTTCCTAGTCTGGGAGAGTGGGATTGACCCAAACTCACCCAGCTGATTTCATGTCTAAAGCAGGACTAGAATTCCCAGTCTTCCTAGGTGTTAGTCTGGTGCTTAATCAAACTGACTTTCTTTTACCTAATATAGGATGCTATCATCCAATCTGTTTGTTTCATGTTCCAGTGAAAATCCTGATCCAGGACTTCTACTGGCAAATGATATCATCTCTCAGAAAAATGGAAGAAAGCTGATAGAAAAAAGAAAATTCTCAATGATTTTTATCCATGTGTTCTTGACATTGTCTTGCAGGTATCACAAATTGATCTGGAGTCCTCACACAACAACATCCGATGGGACTCTTTCAGGAGTTCTTATTGCTGGTGGCGAAAACGGGAATATAATTTTGTATGATCCAGCTAAGATATTAGCTGGTGAAACCGAAGTCATGATTGCTCAGAACGACAAACATACGGGACCTGTAAGAGCTCTGGATGTTAATCTATTCCAGGTTAGATTTTACTTACGTCTTTTCATAGTGTCTTCAAAGCATTTCAGATCAAACTTCCCCATTCTGGTTCCCAGGGGACTAAAATCGTGACAACTTTAAGACTTGTGGACTTCAGCTCCCAGAATTCCTCAGCCAGCATAGCTGGCTGAGGAATTTTGGGAGCTGAAGTCCACAAGTCTTAAAAGTTGTCATGGTTGCAGGCTCCTGCTAGTTCCCCTCCAAATTTGATAGATCACAGATTCCAGCTGTTCCCGAGCCATCATGGTCACTTTTTTGTGAGATGGGCAACCATATAAATTTGAAAAATTAATTAAAACTCATGGGCATTCGCTTCCTCAAAAACAATGCTTTTGATGCAGTTTAATTTTTAGCATTTGCTTTGTGTTACAGACAAATCTAGTAGCTTCTGGTGCAAATGAGTCGGAGATCTACATCTGGGATTTAAATAACTTTGCAACGCCAATGACGCCGGGAACCAAGACTCAGGTACAGGGTTTATATAATGTCTGCGAGGCCTATGAAAATCAGTGGGGTGAAGTCTCTGGAGGTTGTGTTGCACTTATGTTAGGCACAGTTGTATTTGCCTTACCTCTCTGGTGATTTGTCCTGTCTCTGGATTTAATGGGTGCCCAGAGTTGACTTTTCAAATAAAGAAAATGCATTTGATTTCTCCCACGGTGTATGGATGTTCTAAAAGGCCCAAACATTCTTAGGTGTTTGCAGGTTATTCTAGAAAAACTGGTTAAAAACAAAACAGTAAGATACCACTGAGTCAAAGAAGAATCATGTTCCTTAAAATAGCAAATACATAGCATTGTATTTGTTGAGAGTATCCAGGTCCTGTGTTGACTCTGAAGGCACATTGCATTCTTAATACCATCTTGTAAATATGACTTGACAAGTTTGTCCCAATTATTCTTCTGTTCCATTTACTTCCTGCTTGGTGTTCTTTGCATTAAGTACTAGGAGTAGAGTAGAGTAGAATATATGGAGTGGAGTGGAGTGGAGTGGAGTGGAGTAGAGTAGAGTAGAGTAGAGTAGAAGTAGAGCTGGAAGGGACCTTGGAGGTCTTCTAGTCCAGCCCCCTGCTCAAGCAGGAGAACTTATACCATCTCAGACAAGTGACTGTCTAATTTCTTCTTAAAAACCTCCAGTGAGGGAGCGCCCACGATTTCTGGAGGCAGGCTGTTCCACTGGTTAATTGTCCTCACTGTCAGGAAGTTTCTTCTTAATTCCAGATTGCTTCTCTCTTTGATCAGTTTCCAACCATTGTTTCTCGTCCTTCCCTCTGGTGCTCTGGTGAACAACCTGGCCCCCTCTGCCTTGTGGCAGCCCCTCAGATACTGGAACACTGCTATCATGTCTCCCCTATTTCTTCTTTTCTTTAGACTAGCCAAACCCAAGTCCCGTAGCCGTTCTTTGTATGTTTTAGTCTCCAGGCCCCTGATCATCTTAGTTGCTCTTCTCTGATTTTTTTTCCAAACTCTCAACATCTTTCCAGAAGAAAAAAAGCTAACTTGTTCATGGTGCACAGTAAGTATTAAGCTAAGGAAGGTTGCATCAATTTCCATTTTTTTCCCCCAACAGCCTCCTGAAGATATCAGCTGTATTGCGTGGAACAGACAAGTCCAACATATCTTGGCCTCTGCGAGCCCCAGTGGCCGTGCCACTGTGTGGGATCTCAGGAAGAACGAGCCGATCATCAAAGTCAGCGACCACAGCAATCGGGTAGCTATTCAGCTCTGGGGTTAAATTTATATCTTAAATGCAACAGATCAGGAAAAAATTAATTTGGGGGAATAATTTAGAAAGTTACAGGTAGTCCTTGATTTATAACAGGGGTCTTCAAACTTGGCCCTTTCATGACTTGTGAACTTCAACTCCCAGAATTCCTTAGCCAGGCACGTGTGCCTGGCTGAGGAATTCTGGAAGTTGAAGTCCACAAGTCATGAAAGGGCCAAGTTTGAAGACCCCTCATTTGCAATCAAAACTGAGCCCAAAATTTACATTGCTAAGCAACACAGTTGTTAAATGAGTTTTGCCCCATTTTACAAGCTTTTTTGCCACGGTTGTTAAGTAAATCACTGCAATTTTAAGTTAGTAACATGATGGCTAAGTGAATCTGGCTTCCCCAATTGACTTTGTTTGTCAGAAGGTCGCACAAGTTGATCACATGACCCCAGGGTACTGTGACCATCTTAAATACTACCCAGTTGTCAATATTGATCACATGGGCATGGGGATGCTATTAGCCCATTAAATTCTCTTTTTGGGGGGAGGTTACAAATTTCCTTATCTAATGAGTGTTTGAAAGATTCATGAACAATACAGTATGCTGTACAGTTATATCCCTATCCTTCAATACCCTTTGCTTTTTCCCACTCAAAATCCTCTGGAAGGAACTTGGGTTATCTAGCCCAACGTTCTGCTTTGTGCAGAATCTGCTAAAATAGATGGATATACAGGTGGTCCTTGACTTGTGACCACAATTGAGCCCAAAATTTATGTTGCGAGGCGAAACACTTGGTAAGCGAATTTTGTCCCGTTTTACAATCTTTCTTGCGCCAGTTGTTAAGTGAATCACCACAGTTGTTAAGTTAGTAACACGGTTGTTAAGTGAATCTGGCTTCCCCGTTGACTTTGCTTGCCAGAAGGTTGCAAAAGGGGATCACATGACCCTGGGACACCGCGACCGTCATAAATATGAGTCAGTTGACAGGCATCTGAAATTTGATTACGTGACCATTGGGATGCTGCAACTGTCATAAATGTGAAAAAAGTCATGAGTGATTTTTTTCCAATGCTGTTGTCACTTCAGATAGTCACTAAATGAAAAGTTTTAAGTCTTGCTGCATCTTATGAGACTTTGACATCATGGCAGGAATTTTATTACAATGTGTGAGGGACAATAAATAGTAAATAGGCTTCCACACTCTTCAAATGAGGTTAATTCAACAAAAGATTCTTTTTTGCCTTTACTGGATATCTCAGAAGGTTTAAAAGCAGATGGCTAATTCCCTTGTTATATGGTAAATGTAAAACATTTACGAAAAGGCTGATACAATGTGGGTTTCTCTTGTTATTGTGCTATTTTGATTTTAAGTGTCTCAAAAGACTGTTAGAAAGATCAGAATGGTTTAAAGACGTGAACATACTTCTGAACTGAATATCGAAAATATGGAGCTTGTTTCTGTATGAAGAGTTACAAACTTAGCCAACGTGGAGCAGTAGGAAAGATTCCTCTTCAATGTTGGAAAAACAGTGCAACTCCAGATTACAACTCCACGATCATTAGATGTGCTCTGTGTTTTCTTTATGGGCTGGCTCAGTATTAGTGTGATGATGATGATGATGATGATGATGATGATGATGATGATGATGATGATGATGATGATGATGATGATGATGATAAAGTTGGAAGGGACCTTAGAGGTCATCGAGTCCAACCCCCTGCTCAGGCAGAAAACCCTATACCATTTCGGACAAATGGCTGTCCAGTCTCTTCTTAAAAACTTCCAGTGTTGGTGCATTCACCGCTTCTGGAGGCAGGTTGTTCCACTGGTTAATTGTTCTAACTGTCAGGAAGTTTCTCCTTAGTTCTAGGTTGCTTCTCTCTTTGGTTAGTTTCCACTCATTGCTTCTTGTCCTGCCTTCGGGCACTTTGGAGAATAGCTTGACTCCCTCTTCTTTGTGGCAGCCCCTGAGATAATGGTGACACTGCTATCATGTCCCCCCTCGTCCTTCTCTTCATTAAACTAGACTTACCAGTATTTTCAGTGTACTCAGATTTTAAAGCTGTGTCTGAAAATTTGGCCAAATAATTGCATAATATAGTATTTTGTTTTTCTTTTTTCCCCCTTTTCTGCATATTAAAGCAACAGCAATACACGTAAAGACTTTAAAAAGGTGAAGCGTTCAATTTAGAAAATATTCAGTCAGCTGCTTGGCCAGGTTATCTTTACCGTTCATAGAGAATAAGTGCAAACTGTCCTTCATCACCAATGTAAACTAACTTGTTATGGAAGTTACAGTTTGATACAGTGCAGATTGTGTAATCCTTACATTCTCCCCCCCTCCCCCCTCGTTTTTAAGTACTTGAGATGATCCTCTACGTCAGCGGTTCTCAACCTATGGGTCGCGACCCCATTTGGGGTCGATCGACCATTTCACGGGGGTTGCCAAGCAAGGCTGTCCGCCATTTTTTTTCCCTTTTCCGGCGGGTGCCTTACCTCCCTTTGGCTGGGCCAGCTGGTGGTCGGCCTGCTCCGTCTCTGCCGCTTGCCAGCTACGCCTCGGCCGGCGCAGGGGGAGGAACCATGCATGCGCAGCGCTCCCGGGCAGGGAAAGTCCTCGACTTACGACCGGTTGGGTAGTCCTCGACTTACGACCGGTTGGGTAGTCCTCGACTTACAACCGGTTTAGTCCTCGACTTACGACCGCTTTAGTCCTCGACTTACGGCCGGTTGGGGGGTCGCGGCATTAAAAAGGTTGCGAACCACTGCTCTACGTGAAGCCACATGTAGGTAGAGCGCATGTTCATTTATGGTATGTGGCCAGGGTGTGTGCCTAACCTCCCCATCTTACAGATTAATTTTTGGCTTGTTAAGTGTATGAGCCAGCTGTTTCATAAATAGGCAGGGGGATTACCCTTCTGATCTCATTTGAGATTTTCACATTCTGCATGTTAATTGCTGCCCTGGCAGTTGTTGCAGTCAGCATGCAGGACTACATGTTGAATATGTTTTGCTAAACAAGGGAAAGTATTGCTGAAAATTACTAGGATGCTACAGTACTTCTAAGTAAGAGAAATGGTTTTATAATGAGCAGCGTGGTGGCCTAGAGGTGGAGCTCTCACCTCACAGGAGGCTGTGAGTTTGATCCTAGGTAGCGGCAGATATTTCTCTATCAGGGCACAAAGAGAAAATTTTTGCTGTGAACTCCGCGTAGGCGTCAGGAAGGGCATCCAGCCAGTCAACACTCAGCTCCATTCAGTCACCTTGACTCCATCCCAATGCAAAGGATTACATGGTTGTTGTTGTTGTTGTTGTTTTGTTTTGTTTTTTAAATGAACACTAGTTATACCATTTCAGATGCATTGCTCAGGGCTGGAATGGCATCCTGAGGTCGCCACGCAAATGGTTCTGGCTTCAGAAGATGACCGGCTACCCGTAATCCAGATATGGGATCTGAGATTTGCATCTTCTCCTCTTCGTGTTCTAGAAAACCATGCCAGGTGCATAAAATACAGATTTGATGTATGGTGCTAGAAAGACTGATGGAGATGTTAGGCCAAAATTTATTGACAGATTTTCATACAAGGGGGGAGGGGTTTGGCAAAACAACGATGAAATAATATTGGAAAATAAATATACGGGATTCAAAGCAGATGATGGGAGATAACATATTTTCGATCAGCATTCGGAATAAGATTTTATTTTATTTGAGAAAAGGGCCAAAAAGGGACTCTTGAGCATTTTGGTTAATTATTTTGGAGTTTTTGTTTATGACAAAAGTCCTTTTAGTTTTTATCTTTCCTCTTTCAAATTTTAATGTCCCATTGATATCGGTTACATATTTGCAATGTTTGGTTAGTTTGATAAGCATTTGATATATATATATATATATATGTATTTTACACAGAGGTATTTTGACAATTGCTTGGAGTATGGCAGATCCTGAACTACTGCTGAGCTGTGGAAAAGACTCTAAAATCCTTTGTTCCAATCCAAATACAGGAGAGGTATTTGCTTTTAAGTAACATTTAAATTTTAAAAATTGAAAAATATGTCTTTTGGGCAGTGCATAAAGAGCTCATCACCTTTTCATTATTAACTTGCATCAAAGACAACTTGTGACAACCAACTTTAAAAAATTTTTAGGATCCTAATGAAAAAAATAAACATTCCTCTTATGAATATGATTTGTTCTATTCAATTTAACTCTTTTGATTTGTTTTTTTAAAAAAACTATTTGTGCAACTTGAATATGTTTACTATGTATTTGGTGAATTGATTTTGGGTGCAGGTTGGCTTGGAAATGCTTGCATGTTACTGTTTATCTACCGAAGAGATTAATGAAACAAGGATACATAATAAAACACCGAGTTCCTTTTAAAGTCCATTAATTGTAAATACAGAGGGTCCTCGACTTACAGTGGCAGTTGGGACCAGAATTTCCATTGCTAAGCAATGTTTTTGTAAAGTACACCTGCATCATTTATCAGTAGCAGACTTTGTGGTCCTGGTTGCCATTATTAACTGAATCTAATGGTTGTTAAGCAAAGCAATTTCCTGCCGGCTTCCAATAACCAAGTCAGTGGGGGAGCCAGCAGGAAATCGCAAGTCCCTGATAGCTTTTAGGCAAGAAAGGAGCTGAGGGGGAGGGTTGGGGAAGGTGCACTGTAGGGCCAGGGAGAGTATGCAGGGATGTGATGGAGGGTTGGAGGTTGCGGGAGAGTATATCCTTAATTCTACATCTTGCTCGGAATATTAAGACACGTCACTGACCAATTTTGCAGTTGTTCGTTTTGGCAGCCCTAGTTGTCCTTCTTCCTTTCTTCCGATCGCAGGTGTTGTATGAGCTTCCTACCTCTACCCAGTGGTGCTTTGATGTGCAGTGGTGTCCCAGGAATCCCGCCCTTCTCTCTGCTGCTTCTTTTGATGGGAGGATCAGTATTTACTCAATCATGGGAGGAAGCACAGACAGCCTGCGACAAAAACAAGTGGACAAGGTATCTCATTTTTGAAAACGGGGGAAAGGGCAGGTTTTGCCATTTACGATGAAATGCATAAAAATAAATGATTGAAATATTGGCTTTCTCAGAACTCACTGTTCTTGGTTTCTTAATGAGACTCTACATGTCCCCCTGCCACGGAGGAACAGATCGGATGTTGATCAGTACTAGTGGTTCTTTGGCTGTGTTCATTTCACCCTCTAATCCGCTATTTCTCAACCCTGGCAACTTTAAGATATATGGACTTCAATTCCCAGAATTCTCCAGTCAGCCATGCTGGTTGGGGAATTCTGAGATTTGAAATCCCAGACACCTTAAAAGTTGCCAAGGTTCAGAGACATTGTTTTAATCCCTTTAAAATTCCTTACTTACAATCCTTTGATTTTAAAAACAATCGTAGAAAGCACATTTGATAAATGGTAGTCAGATTCTGACATAAAAGTTTGTCCTGGAATTGGATCAAGCTAAAGAACAAGGATGTCATGGTTCCGACAGATGAAACTCTTCAAAGAACCTTGAGGCATTGTTTACCTTAAAGAATCTTTATTCGAGCAGCATAGATTCGGCACATACATAAGTGAAGCCAAAATCTGGATTCCCCTCCCCTTGGCACGTAGTATCAAACACAATTCCCTCCTCTAATTAACTCATAAATCACATTCTCCAATTAGTTTGAAATGCAGGCTCTCCCTCCTATTCTCCAACTCTCCATTTCTTACCATCTCTTATTTCAAACTCTGAATTCATACACTAGTGCAATGCTATGTCTAACTAACTCCCATCACATTCCTCCTCCTCCCCCAGCATCATCTAATTCTAAGAGTAGAAGAAAGAAAAAGGCTGCATCTTCATATGTTGTCAAAGCAAGAACATCCAATGTTAGCAGCGTTGACAAAGGAATTGTTTTCTCTTTCTCTTCTGTTTTCAAAAGCTCTCCTCGTCTTTTGGCAATCTTGATCCCTTTGGAACGGGACAACCCCTTCCCCCATTGCAGCTCCCACAACAGAGCATCCAACAGAGCACAGTTCTGCCTCTGAAGAAACCACCCAAGTGGATTCGCCGACCAGTGGGAGCATCTTTCTCCGTAAGTCTCTGCCATTTAAATAAAAAGAAAAGACTTGGTACTTAGCGAGTACTAGGTTTTCTGCAGGATGCTTCATAGAAATCCGTGGTCTTATTTTAGAGAAACCCTTGTGTAGCATAAGGCATCCATCACATCTTAGGCAGAAGAATTTTTAAAAAAAATTATTTATCCAATGCCAAGACCACCTAATTGCTTGACACTCTGGACAACTTATAGATAAAAAAAGAAAAACAATGCATATTAAAAAACAAAAAGTTAAAGCCAGGTACCTATTACCATATCTGGTGGACATGCCCTAAAGCTAAAAGATTTTGGTCAAAAATACACTTACGGTTGGAGAAAATGACTAAAAAACAAATAGATTTTAAGCCAGAATTATTTTTGTTAGGAATAATAGGAGCAAATTATGAGAAAGACTGTATATGTTTAATTTTACATATGTTAACTGCAGCAAGAATTGTTGAGAACCCAAAAGTGCTTGCTTTAAGACTACCTAGTTGTATGGCTATGTGTGGGTAACAATACCACTGATTGCTTGAATTCCAGTTTGGAGGGAGACTGGTCACTTTTGAGGACAGCAAGACTCAACAGCAAGGAGAACATCCCCAACAGCGCTACCACGTCTACATTAGTCAAGTTGTCACTGAGAAGGAATTCTTGAACCGGTCCAACCAGCTGCAAGAAGCTGTTCAGGCCGAAGCCTTCATCAGCTACTGTCAGAAGAAAATCGATGCAGCCAGAAATGACTTTGAGAAGAATGTGTGGTCATTCCTCAAGGTGATTTTCAGGGTTGATTGAATACAGAATCTCTCACTCACTTTAAAAACAAGAGGCATGCAGTAGTCAGATCCAGAGTGGGAAATATTTTTGGATCCGGCATTGGCCCCCCGAATACGTAAGTCCTCAGGTTTATGACCAGTTGCTTTCACAAGCATTCTGAGTTACAACAGACCTATTTTGGATCTACTTACGACCCAGATTCAAAATTCCAGTGCTCACACCACCCCTTAAAGGGGGCACGCGAACAAACTTCGACTGCTCAGCAACTTTGCTGCATTTATTGCAACATCTCGTGGTCATGTGACTATGTTTTATGATGGTTTTGCCAAAAACTGGACCTCACTTTTAGCTTTTGGCAAAACTATGCCCATAGCAAACCATTGGTCCACTTAATGACTGCGACGTTCAGTTAATGACTGCTCAAAAAAAAGGTTATAAAATTGAGTGGATCGTGTGCCTGGCCTGTTTTACAACTTTTCTGACTCACAGCTGCAGTGAGCAGGCTCCATGACAGTCATAAGTCGAGGATTCCCTGTAGTGAAAGTGTCCATGCTGGACCAGCCACAACTTCATCCACTTGATAGTCATGTGCTACCAAGTAAGATGATGAATAAAAGATAAAGTTATATTGTCCTTGCTATACTCGACTAGGGATTTACGAAGTGTTCAAAAGCAGTGGTTCACATCCCAGAATAGTACATTAAAAGCACTTCCTTTTGAATCATTAAAGCCACCATGTCATTTGCGAGTTTGGGTGGCTGCTTCAGAATTTGCTCTTCGTTGTCTTGGCATGCAGAGTCCTACTTCAGTGAGAAAAAGGCATTCAGAGACTGCCAGAAATCATTTTGAAGCAGCCATGCAAATCCCAGAGATGACAAATAGCTGCTTAGTGATTTGAGAAGAGGTGATTTATGCATGCCTCTGCAAGTTGTAAAGCAACAAGCCTTCACTTCCTATTTGTTGACGGTTCTGACAAGGTGGAGGTAGTTCTTAATGATCTACCTGTGTGGAGAGCAATAGATCGTGTAGGATCGGGCTTACAAGGCAGCAGTTTTTGGGGGGACGATGTTGGTTTTCTAGGGACCTTCAGAAGGACCAGCATTTCTAAAAATCAGCCCCCTAAGCCAGGGGTGTCAAACTCAATTTCCTTGAGGGCCGCATCAGCATTGCGGTTGCCCTTGGGGGGCCGGGTGGGTGTGGCCAGGGTGGGTGCGGCCTACTGGGTGGGGGTGGATGGAGTGGGTGTGGCCTACTAGGTGGGTGTAACAAGCTCTACATCGTTCACGTCAAGGGTGCCTGTGAGCCTGGGCAGGAGTGGGACAGATCTGAGGGTCTCTGGCAGAAGGGGGTGGGACCGGGGCAAGTGCCAAAGCATGGTCCACTGGAGGAGCCTCACTGTTCCTCTCAGATTATGAGGGGGGAGGCTTATGAAGCTAAGACTGAATATGTTTCAGCATAGATGGCCACCACAAAATTGTACATTGGTTCCCGGATGGCCTGGGCCAGGGCCAAGGCAGAGGGGGCCGTTCCCTCACTGTTTCCAGGATGGCTTCGCGGGCCACATGAAACCACTTCGCGGGCCGCATCCGGCCCCCGGGCCTTGTGTTTGACATGTCTGCCCTAAGCAATCCATCTGGCCAGCTCACAGTAATCTTCCCCCAGATAGTTTCCATCTCCTGGAAAATGGGTTGATCCTTAGAAATAATAGATCTTGAAAAGATGGCATTTTGCTGAGTTAACCTATGAAACTACTCACAAATTTCAGGAAGAAGAGTAAGTGAAGACAGAAAGAAAATAAATCCAATTTGCCTTCATTTTCCTACCATTTCCCCCCATGTAGAGCTAGAGTAGAACAGAACAGAATAGATTAGAATAGAATAGAATAACAGAGTTGGAAGGGACCTTGGAGGTCTTCTAGACCAACCCCCTGCTTAGGCAGGAAACCCTATACCAGGGGTCGCCAACCCCCGGTTCTTGGACCAGTGGCATGCCAGCAACCGGTCTGCACAAAAAAGCAAATCCCTATCCGTGGGATACAGGCAGCATACACAACCACGCAGAAAAACCTTTCTCCACGAAACCGGTCCCTGGTGCCCAAAAGGTTGGGGACCTCTGCCCTATACCATTTCAGACAAATGGTTGTCCAATCTCTTCTTAAAAACTTCCAGTGTTGGAGCAACTTCTGGAGGCAAAAGGTTCCACCAATTATTTTTCCTAACGGTCAGGAAATTCCTCCTTAGTTCTAGGTTGCTTCTCTCCTTGGTTAGTTTCCACCCGTTGCTTCTTGTCCTGTCTTCAGGTGCTTTGGAGAATAGCTTGACTCCCTCTTCTTTGTGGCAGCTCCTGAGATATTGGAACACTGCTATCATGTCCTCCCTTATCCTTCTCTTCATTAAACTAGACATATCCAGTTCCAACAGCCGTTCCTTATAGCTGATTTTGTTGCCCTCTGTCAAGGTGTCATTTAAACTTTATCATACTCTAAGTGTTTGGCAAAGGCACATCTTGTTCTGTGGATGCAGGAAGAAACTAGCTGCCCTCTCAAATGCCTTTTCTGATGTGTTTGGTTTTTTTGAAGGTGCATTTTGAGGAAGACTCACGTGCCAAATATCTGGAACTCTTGGGGTACAAAAAGGATGGTTTGAGACAGAAGGTAAATGTTGCTATATTGCATTTTTAAGAACTACGTTCAAAGCATTTATTAATTGCCTTTTGGGTTTGGTTTGAAAGAAATCATGGGGAAAATAGATATGGCAAGAAGTAGCCTAATCTTTCACCTCTCGATAATTGTAAAGAGCCTGTTCTCTGATTAATAAAGTGCTCAGGAATTACTAGGAATTAATGAAATTAACAAATTATGAAATTCCTAGTAATTGCTTTAAATATCATCCTTTTTTTTTGCTGATAGTTTCTTAGTCTAAAGCAGCCTTTCCCCAACCTTTTTTAGCCTGAAAGAACTCTTGAAATAATTTTGGGGCTTAGGATATCTCTGCCTAAAAATTGCAAAACATACAAAAACTTCACAGTACAAGTCATGTCTAGCCTACACAATCCACATTTTTCAGCATTTACAACAGCAGCAAAACAACACGTGGGCACCTGAGTTGCATCGCATAAACATTCCTACTGCTGCTAATGCCAGGACTATGCAGTGCACTCAGCTCAAAAAACATGGTTTGTTGTTGTTGTTTTTGTTTCAATCACCATTTCTTGTGGACCCAAGTTGAAAAAAAATAGTCTTTATTATTCGAGTGTTTTTTGCTTAATTATATCATTCATCTGGGTCAACTAACATACAAGGATAGGTGCATGATCAGGGAAGGAAAAAAATCATGGCATTTGTTGTTTCAGTATCGCTCAAGATCTGACTTCAGATAAATTGAAAATACTTAATATTTTTGCCTGTTTTTTTTTAAGGAGTTAAAAATTGGCTTTATTCTCCAAAATGAATGTTACGCCGCTTGTTTTATTTCCTTAGATTTCTTCAACTCTTGCTAAGGAGAGTCCTCGAGGCAAAGATCAAGATGAGGTAAAAAAAAACCCAAAAACAATCCAGTGCAACTTGTTTTTTAATTTGATGAAGGTTGGAAAGTAGCATTCTCTTACTTTGACTTTGTTGCAAGCCAGTGCTTATATAGTGAAAAAACTTAAAATCCTGTCAGTGCAACACCCATTAAGGGAAAACACTGATCTCTTCAAAAGGATGTGTGGAAGACCCAGTATTCATTGCAATTTGTTAGTTTTACCCTAAACTATGATTTCACGCACTGGGTACATACAGGTCCATCTGCAATGTGAATCATTTCAAAGGATTACAAAGTTATAGTTTTTACTGCTCGTCCTGTGCAGAAGCTAAATGCTGTCTCAAGTTGAGCTGGGCATCCTCTTGCTATTCTCCCTTGTACACCTCCCTAAATCCCAGTTTGACTCCCAATTTCATCCCAAAGTATTTCCTCTTTATTCCTCTGCAGCCATAGCCTGTCTTTCTCCTTTTCTTCTTTTATTCCTTATTTATGGCATGTTTTCTCTTCCTACAGAGTTATTTGATTTTGATAATTTTTTTTGCTTTGTAGTTATCTTACTTTTTTCCTTTTATACATGATAGGTAGGTAGGTAGATAGATTAGATTGTATACTTATTTTAGATTATCTTTATCTCAATTTCAACACTGTTTTTCTCCTAGAAGCATGCATAATAGGGCCTGCTAAATGGTTAAGAAATCCATCAGTAACTCTGCATAATGAGAACAGAGTTGAAAAATGAATTTTGGAATAGCTAAATAAATAAGTGAAACAAAGCAGAAGGAATTTTATTATCCAGTACAAGGAAATGTGTATTCAGGTTTTCTTTGAAACAAGTGTCTGTTGCACACTTTCAAAAGATTCAGGGAAGACCCCATGGTCGAACCTCTGAAAGTGAAGGGGGTGTCCCAAAAAAGAGTTAGTGATGGATTTCTTAACCACTTAGCAGGCCCTATTAAGCTCTATTAAGAACTTTAATCCATTCTGTGTGGTCCACCCCAAATTTGTCTCACTAATGAAAAAAGGCTCCTTCAACCTGGCAGTGTGTAAATATGCTAGACTACAATTCCCTTCATATACATGCATGTTAGGGGAGCTGTAATATGACATGTCTGTAAGGTACACAAATATGTCTTCTTTCTATCAGTTCTTGCAGAAAGTGTATTACTTTTTTTAAATCTGTATGACTGGAAATGCCAGGAGTCACTGGAACCAGGAAGTCTAAAAATGCTTGCAAGTAAATAAATGAACAACAGACCAGTGTAAAAGGTCATACAAGTTCTGCTGAACTTTCAGAATGCCGAAATTACATTTTACTCCACTACCCCGCTGTCTTCTTTCCTTTCAAACTAAGTTTTGTATTTGTGACTCAAAGTCATCAAGTCTCTGGTCTCTAACTCTGGCTTCTGCGACGCTGCCTCACCTTGCTCCTTTATTGGTGTGGGTTGAAGGTTTTCTGTTATATTTTAACGAGCAATAGAAATTTTCATTCTTCAGAAAGAGAAATGTTGAAAGAAAAAAAATAGGGTTCTTCTTGTTGCTATAACTCTAGGCCAGGGGTAGGCAACCTTGGCTCTTTTATGACTCGTGGACTTCAACTCCCAGAATTCCTGAGCCAGCATGACTCAGCTTGGAAACTCTCCCTTTCCCCTCAGCATGGCTAGCTCAGGAATTCTGGGAGTTGAAGTCCATGAGTCATAAAAGAGCCAAGGTTGCCTACCTCTGGCCTAGGCCTAGGCCGCTTTATGACTCGTGGACTTCAACTCCCAGAATTCCTGAGCCAGCCTGGCTCAGCTTGGAAACTCTCCCTTTCCCCTCAGCATGGCTGGCTCAGGAATTCTGGGAGTTGAAGTCCATGAGTCATAAAAGAGCCAAGGTTGCCTACCCTCGCTCTAGGTTTACTAATATTATACCTTTTGGAGGAATCTTGGGGCTATCTGGGGCTATTTGCAGTGGTTAAGGAGTTGGTTTCTTTGCTTTAATCTTCCTCTTCATATCTGTGGGAAAGGCTCACGAGGAACCTGAACAGCCTGCACAGCCTGATGGTGGAGAGGGTCTAACTGCTAAGGACCAGCTGTTGGCAGAGGTATTCGTCCCCTTTTGTGCTAAACATGCAAACTGACTTGCATTTGTAGTAAATGTGAGTGATTTTGCACTGATTCCCAGCTAACCCCTTTGCTGATGTGTGTACCTGTGGCCTCATGTCGATACATATAGTTCTCGACTTAGAAAAGTTCATTTAATGACCATTCAAATTTACAACAGCGCTGAAAAAAGTGACTTATGGCCGTTTTTCACACAACCACTTAAGCATCCCCATGGTCATGTGATCAAAATTCAGACGTTTGGCAACTGACTCATATTTATGACGGTTGCATGTGATCTCCTTTTGCAACCTTCTGACAAGCAAAGTCAATGGGGAAACCGGATTCACTTAACAACCGTGTTACTAACTTAGCAACTGCAGTGATTCACTTAACAATTGTGGCAAATGGGAAAAAACGGGGGAAAATTCACTTAGCAACTGTCTCACTTAGCAACAGAAATTTTGGGGCTGAATTGACCTAAGTCGAGGACTACCTGTAATTTAACAGAAGTTGTCATGTTATATAGAGATAAATGCCAGCAAGAGAGGGTGACTGAGTAGGAGAATGTCCTTAACAACTGAGCAAGGCTGTATGTTCTGTACACCAGGGGTCCCCAACCCCCAGTCCATGGACCGGTATGGGGCCGCGGCATGCTAGCAACCGGTCCGCACAAACAAGCAAAGCCCCATCTGCGGGATTCAGGCAGCACACAAAATCACGCACTCTCCGGCCCGTGGAAAAACCTCCACGGAACCGGTCCCTGGTGCCCAAAAGGTTGGGGACCTCCAGTTTAGAGTCTCCTGCTTGAACAGGGGGTTGGACTAGATTAGAACAAGAGTCCCCAACCCCTGGTCCATGGACCGGTACCAGGCCACGGCATGCCAGCAACCAGTCCGCACAAACAAGCAAAGCACCATCCGTAGGGTGCAGGCAGCACACAAAACCATGTCCCTCCTCTGGCCGGTGGGAAAACCTCTCTCCACGGAACCGGTCCCTGGTGCCCAAAAGGTTGGGGACCTCTGCTGTACACTAAATACTTTACAGCAAACATGGAATTTTGCAGCTGGAATAAACATGCCACTTAACACAAGTTACACATGTTATGAAAGGAAATGTCCCATCTGTGAGCAACAGGCCTGGTTGGCTTTCTGAATTCCAATTTTGTGGCTCTTGGGAGCTCTGTTACACCAGGATGCCAGAATGCCTGGATCCCTTTCACTGAATTGCCTTCCTCCTGTCTCCCTACTGACTTAGCAGGAAGGAAGATTTTCAAGCTTTCTCTTCAGGAGACAGAACAAAGGGAGTAGCATGTCCTCAGATGTAGGAGCCTGGCTCTAGATTTTCAGCTGTTTCAAAATATGGGCTGCTCCACGCAAGAAATGTAGATTTTGACCTTATGTTGAATATGATGGAATCACAGAGATTGTGTTTCCATTTCTCTCTCTTAGTACAGGAGTCCTTGACTTCCACCAGTTCATTTAGTGACCATTCCAAGTTAACAACGGCACTGAAAAAAAAGTGCCTTAGGACTGTTTTTCACGCTTAAAACCATTGCAGCAATTTTGATCACGTGATCAACATTCGGACCCTTGGCAACTGACTCATATTTACGACTATTGCAGTGTCCTTGGGTCGTGTGATCACTTGGTAAACTTCTGACAAGCAAAAGTCAGTGGTGAAGCAGATTCACTTAAACTTTACTAATTTACTAATTTAACAACTGCAGTGATTCACTTAACAACTGTGGTGAGAAAGGTCGTAAAATGGGGCTAAACTCACTTTAACAAATGTCTCACATAGCAACAGAAATGTTGGGCTCATTTATGGTGAGTCAAGGACTACCTGTGTATCTGGGATTGTCTTTAAACTGAGACCGTATTCAACTTACCTTCAGCGTTTAGCCCAGGGGTAGGCAACCTTGGCTCTTTTATGACTCGTGGACTTCAACTCCCAGAATTCCTGAGCCAGCATGGCTCAGCTTGGAAACTCTCCCTTTCCCCTCAGCATGGCTGGCTCAGGAATTCTGGGAGTTGAAGTCCACGAGTCATAAAAAAGCCAAGGTTTCCTACCCCTGCCCATGCTGTTCATTCCCAAAGATGAATGGGCAGAAGGTAGAACTGTAAATATACAATTTCTCATCATAGTGAGCAGAAAAAAAACAAATTATTGTTAAGTGGCAGTTTTCATTTCAGTGCAGCTATCTCATAATGTTTCCATTATAAAGCACATTATGATTAGGATGCATTTAAATAACAAATTCTGAAACTCTACTAAGCTGCATTATTTTTCCCTTCCAGAGTAAAAATGCTGAGGTTGATTCACTGCAACCCACAAATGAAACCTTTAACATTTCTGTCACCGGAGGTAAAATATATATATATAATTTACATAGCATCATGTAGTTAAAATGTTCTACATTTGATTATAAGATTGTGGTGGTGGTGGTGATGACCGTTGTCTTTGTTTGTTCTCCTTCATACAGACATTGATGGTTTGATCACTCAGGCTTTGCTGACGGGGAACTTTGAAAGCGCCGTTGACCTTTGCCTGCATGACAATCGCATGGCTGATGCCATCATTCTCGCCATAGCTGGTGGCCAGGAGCTGTTATCCAAGACGCAGAAGAAATACTTTGCAAAAACAAGAGGAAAAATTACCAGGGTGGGTGGACTTTTTCAGTTGGAAGCAATAACAAAACTTACATATGGCAAATCTGTTGATTATCTCCCTTCTCCCCCAAAAGTCGGGCAATCCAGAAAACAGCTAAGTAGGTATGTAGAAATAGTCCTCAACTTACAACCATTCATTTATTGACGGTTCAAAGTTACAACAAAGTGACTTATAACCATTTTTCACACTTGCGACCATTGTAGCGTTCCCCATGGTCACGTGATCAACATTCGGACGCTTGTCAACTGGCTCACATTTATGACGGTTGCAGTGTCCCGGGGTCACCTGATTCCCCATTTGTGACCTTGTGACAAGTCGATGGGGAAACCAGATTCACTTAACAACCGTGTTACTGACTTAACAACTGCAGTGATTCACTTAACAAATGGGGTAAGAAAGGTCATAAAATGGGGCAGAACTGGCTTAACAAATGTTTCACTTAGCAACAGAAATTTTGGGTTCAATTATGGTTGTAAGTTGAGGACTACCTGTATGACCAACTGTGAAACCAACTCATGAACATAATGAAATACGACGTGAGCCAAGTTCTAAAGAAGCTTTCCACATGCAGTGCTGGGACTCGGTTTCCTGCAATGGAAGCTAGTGGAGGTCAAATTCTGGAGGCCGCAGTTCCCACCTCTCTAGAGATAATCTGATCGGGGAAGGGTCTGTTATGAGTTCTGGTCCTCGTTGCCCAATAAAATACTCATCATTGGGAAAGGGCATTTTGAAGGTACTATTGACGTTTGTGTGTGTTTTCCCCCCCATTCCAGCTCATCACTGCTGTTGTAACCAAGAACTGGAAGGAGATTGTCCAGTCCTGCGATTTGCAAAACTGGAAAGAGGCCTTGGCAGCTGTGTTGACTTACGCTAGGCCGGATGAATTTGCAGTTCTTTGTGGTAAGCCAGATGGGCATTAATAATTCTAAATATTCCCCCCATTTCCCTTTACACACACACACACACACACACACACACAGAGAGAGAGACAGACAGACAGACCGACAGACAGACATGCATGCATGCATGCATGCGTACATATAAATAATGTTTTCGGTCCAGGGAAGCAATACCTGGGCACATCTCCTTTACTAAATAATTTATTTAACTCGGACACTCGGGTTTCATGCCTGAAGGTAAAAATAGTGCTCCCTTTTTTGTAGGCCTCATATTCTAAACCCTCCTGGTTACTAAGGGCCTTTAATTTGCCTCTGACAAGGAGCATTGATCATGATTAATATCAGGTAATTAATATTTGAAAACATGGGCAGGATATCCAGACTCTGAGAGGAAATTGTAAAATTATTAAGCTGTTAAAAAATTGTCGTTCAGAATGCAGCAACAGGGAGCCGCCACCCCCTCCCATTTCCCATCACCCCCCCCCTGTCAAAGCCGCGACTTTTCTAGCGACTTGAGAAAGTCTTGATCAGATTTCTTTCCAACTCTCCAGAGCTGTTGTCACCTTAGATTTGGAAGGGGATTGTCCAGTTGCACAATTTGCAAAACTGGAAAGCAACCTTAGCTCCTGGGCTTACTTACACTAGGTCAGACAATGTTGGTAACTCTGTTGTGGCTAAAATTTCATTAACTTACTTCTCATTCCAGTGTCTTCTTTCAGATTACCAGAAAGTGCTAGACCCCTCCCTCCCTCCCTCCCTCCCTCCCTCTCTCTCTCTCTCTCTCTCTCTCTCTCTCTCTCTCTCTCTCTCTCTCTCTCTCTGGCACATCAATTAGCTCTATGGGGGCTAGCAGAGCACTGATGACAACACTGGAGCTGACAGAGGCATTCAACAGTGCACCTTTCTGTGTGGTGTGTGTGTGTAAATTTGTGGACTTTCTAACAAATATCTGGAGGCTGCATACATGCAGGACTTTAGAGGATATTTGTTGAAAGAAAACCCCACTTCCCACAGTGGTCTTCGTGCTCCTTTCTCCCCCACCCAGTTTTAATCTTTTAATGATAAATCTTTAGCACAACTGATTATTGTTATTACTGTTTTACCTTTTTAATATTTGTAAGCTGCTCAGAGTCACCTCCGGATGAGTTGAGAAGCACATACATCCGATGCATACATACATGCACATGCATACATGCATACATGCACGCACATGCATACATGCACATGCATGCATACATGCACATGCATACATGCATGCACATACATACATACAGCACCAGCAAAGACAGGGAAAAAAGAGGGAAAGTATACATGAGTCTCCAGTACTTTCTGATACTCCGAATAAATCATTCTGAGGTTAATGTTGGTTCCCATTTACATTTTGTTCATCTTCCTAACTAGATTTGTTGGGCTCAAGACTTGAAAACGAAGGGGACAGCGTTTTGCAAACGCAGGCTTGCCTGTGTTACATTTGTGCCGGAAATGTGGAGAAGTTAGTTGCTTGTTGGACTAAAGCCCAAGATGGAAGCAATCCACTGTCTCTTCAGGTGAGGCCCTTTTATTTTCGATTCCCTTTTGGTCTCAATCACTGGAAGATACACACTATAGCAGTGATGGCGAACCTTTTAGAGACCGAGTGCCCAAACTGCAACCCAAAACCCACTTATTTATCGCCGGGTGCGAGGTGGGCATGTCCCACTGGGTGAGCGTGGCTGTGGTGGTCATGGCAGACTGGGTGGGTGTGGCCAAGGTGGGTGTGGTCATCTCGATGTTGCTCGTGGGGAGGGACGCTTGTGGGGGTCGGGCAGGGTTGGGGGAGATCCAGGGGGTCTCTGGCGGGTGGGGTGGTGGGCAGGAAGCTTGTCCTGCGGGGTGAGGTGAGGCAGGGCGGGGGTGCCATTGTTGGAGGGCAAGGCGAGGCAGGGGCTGGGACGGCTGCTGCCTGACACCATCGGCCCTTGCACACAGAGGCCAGTGAGCGCATGGGTGCTGGGATACATCTGGCGAGTTAGTGGGCGGCTGGTTGAAGAGAGACAGTTGCCATCTCCAGGGCATGGCACGTGTGCCCACAGAGAGGGCTCTGAGTGCCGCCTCTGGCACGCGTGCCATAGGTTCGCCACCACTGCACTATAGTCTCCTTCTAAAGCCAGGGGTATCCAACCTTGGCAATTTTAAGACTTGTGGACTTCAACTCCCAGAATTCCCCAGCCAGCAAGGTTAGCTGGGGCATTCTGAGAGGTGAAGTCCATAGAGAGTTGAAGTTGCCAAGGCTGTTCTCCCCTATTTAAAGTCTCTAGCTTTGGGTAAGGAAGTGTCACAATTTCCATTCCTGTGACATACAGGTATTTCCACGGGGGCAGCCATTGCAGTTGGTCTGTTTTCTCACTTTGATGTGTGGATTGTTGCAGCTAAAGTACCATATAATGCAAAGATGGGCAACACGGGGCTTCTGGTCCACCCAAAATTAAAAATAAAATGTTTTTTCTAAAATGACATAACTATTTTACAAGATTAGTAGTAAGGAAGCTGATTGGTCATGAGAGATTACCTCCATCGAATGAGCTTCAACCATTTCTGGGCCTTTTATAAAGAGCAAAATGAGTCAGGCCTAAGCTTACAGACTGACCCACAGCAGAGGGAATGCAAAACTGGTTATGAACCAGCTTTTGTTATGTACAATCAGTCAAGTCAGTCCAGGATTTGAGAAGTTACCACAAAGGGGAGGGGGTCAACTTATTTTCCAAAGCGCCTGAAGGCAGGACAAGAAACAATGGATGGAAACTAATCAAGGAGAGAAGCAACCTGGAATTAAGGAGAAACTTCTTAACAGTGAGGACTGTTAACCCAGTGGAACAGCTTGCTTCCAGAAAATTGAAGAGGCTTTACTGGAGGTTTTTAAGAAGAGACTGGGCAGTCACTTGTCTGAGATGGTTTAGGATCTCCTGCTTGAACAGGGGTTTGGATTAGAAGACCTCCAAGGTCCCTCCCAGCTCTATTCTGGTTGAAGTCTAGCTTAGAGTCAATCAGCCAGTCTGATTCAAGCTTTGCTTTGCTTTTCTCCTTCCATTTCACGCTTCTAGGATCTCATTGAAAAAGTGATCATTCTGCGTAAAGCTGTCCAGCAGACCCAAGTGATGGATGCCAACGCTGTCGGGGCCCTTCTGGCTGAAAAGATGAGCCAATATGCCAACCTTTTGGCTTCACAAGGCAGCATCGCCGCGGCTTTAGCTTTTCTCCCAGCTAATACCAACCAGGTAAACAGGCTTCACTCTGCGCTTGTATGTTTTCTTCTTTTGCCTTTTGCAGGTAGCCCTCAACCTAGGACCACCATCGAGCCCAAAATTTCTGTTGCCAAGTGAGACAGTCAAGTGAACTTTGCCCCGTTTTACGACCTTTCTCGCCACAGTGGTTAAGTGAGTCACCGCAGTTGTTCAGTTAGCAACACGGTTGTTAAGTGAATCCGGCTTCACCCACTGACTTTGCTTGTCAGAAGGTCGTGAAAGGGGATCACGTGACCCCAGGGACGCTGCGACCGTCATCAGCCAGTTGCCCTGGCGTCTGGGTTTTGATCATGTGACCATGGGGATGCTGCAATAGTCATAAGTCACACTTTTTAGTACCGCTGTAACTTTGGATGGTGGCTAAATGAACTGTACTAGACCACCTGTATTAGATTAGTGCACATGATTGGACATTTCCTGAGAGAACAGAGGCTCATCAGTCGTCTCCAACTGGTTGCTATGAGTCCGCTGCCTTCTTGTTTCTGTTCCAACACTTCTGTGGCTTTTATTATAACGTAACTCATTCTCACGAATGAAGGCAAATATACTATTCTGCAAAGTACCTGAAGGCAGGACAAGAAGCAAAATAGATGGAAACTAGTCAAGGAGAGAAGCAACCTAGAACTAAGGAGAAACTTCCTGACAATTAGAACAATAAACCAGTGGAACAACCTGCCTCCAGAAGCAGTGAATGCTCCAACACTGGAAGTTTTAAAGAAGAGACTGGACAGCCATTTGTCTGAAATGATATAGGGCCGTGGTGGCGAATCTATGGCACGGGTGCCACAGGCAGCATGCGGAGCCGTCCCTGTGGGCACGTGTGCCATCGCCCCAGAGGGAGGCCGGGCCAGACTGCTCCCCTCTGCCTTTCCACATGCGCCTGCACTCTTGCTCTCTCTTGACCGTGGGGGGGGCGCGAAATCGCTCTGGAGGCATAGATCCAGGCGGCAGAGGCCATGCCCACCCAGCGGGCCACGCCCACCCGGCACCTGGCAATACATAGGTGGGTTTTGGGTTGCAGTTTGGGCACTCGGTCTCTAAAAGGTTCGCCACCACTGGTATAGGGTTTCCTGCCTTAGCAGGGGGTTGGACTAGATGGTCTCCAAGGTCCCTTCCAACATCATCATCATCATCATCATCATCATTATTATTATTATTATTATTATTATTATTATTATTATTATTATTATTATTATTATTGATTCGTGTCCCAGGATAATGATGTGAGATCCAATTTGAATCGATCACCCCGACCAGAGATTGACTCTTCCGAGCGTTTGGACTCAAAAAAAGCCCAAGGAAACGGCAGCCAATTGCCAGCCATCAACACCCCAATCAGCCAATAGGAAGGCATCACATGTACAGGACTCACAGAACAGCCCAAAGGACATATTCCAGTAGGGAGGAGTTCCCCAAGGATGGGCTCCAGCACACATCCAAAAGCTTGGAAGAGTAAACCTCTGGTCCCAGCGACCGACCCAGATTCGATCTCATAACTCACTCCCTTGATAGATCTGGCCCTGTGAATGTGCTTAACTGGGTGTTTTGTGCTTTGCAGCCCAACATCGTGGTGCTACGGGACAGAATCTGTAAAGCCCAGGGGGAGGTGCCCAGGGCACCCTTTCAGAGGCAGCCAGCAGCCAAGGGAAGAACTGACTCTGTTGCGGGCCAGATGCAGATGCCACAGAACCCAACTCCACAATATTACCAGCAGGTAAAGGGCATTTTCAGCTGCCGCCCTTACGTTGGCAGTTAACCATGTTTTAAATCATGTTGAGCATGTCTGCATGATGTTCTGCTCAAAGTTACCCAGAACGTGTCCCTTGAAAGCTCCTGAGTTAAGAGCACGCTATCCTGCTTTTCAGTTTGGAGAGAAGCCCCTTGTCCTCTTGTTCCAGAGGTATTTTTGGAAAGCTGGCCTAGGAAGCTGCTGGAGGGTTCATGCAGTGGCTAGTCAAGGCCTTCGAAATGCCCTTTGGAAGGCTGATGTATTTTGCCCCCCAGCTAATGTCTGGGAGAGCTTTTGGCTTTAATTTGGGCCTTCAGTTTTAATAAAGCTTAGTCAGTTGTCATTTTCCTGGCAGACACCTTGCCCCCAAAATGTTACAACAGCCACAGCTTGTCAGCTAAACCTTTTCTACTGGAGACTTTCTAGATCAGAGGTCCCCAACCGTGGCAACTTTTAAGACTTGTGGACTTCAACTCCCAGAATTCCTCAGCCAGCCGCGGCTGGCTGAGGAATTCTGGGAGTTGAAGTCCACAAGTCTTAAAAGTTGCCACGGTTGGATTCCCTTGTTCTGGATGGAAGGCAGCTCCCAATATCTCCTTACAACAGACTGAAGTAGGTGATTGTTACACGGACCTGTAAATTGGGGTCCCCAAACCCCGGTCCATGGCCCAGTACCGGATTGTGGCCCGTTGGTAACCAGG